TATATATATAAATTTATGAAGAAATATTTTACGGGAAATTACCCTTCTTAACTTCCCTCATTTTAGTGTAGTGAGAAATAAAGTTTTCGAATCAAATAATACTGGTGCAGGGGGGGTCGTGTCCTTAAATGTGATAGATACCAGATTTAAAAGTCAAATTAACTTTTAAGGATGCTGAAAGACCGTGGTAGTGGTTTAAATGAGGTTTACCATTTTTTTCCCTCTATCTCTTTAATTTAGCATGCATATTTATTGAATAACTAACTTCTTTGTCTTTTAGACGCCTTATGTTTTTGACACTTCACAAAATGTTCCTTCGTCGTGAAATCACAGACATGGTATATTAATCAAAGTTTAGAATTAGGGAATGACGCATAAATAGAAAAAAAATATTGAAAAAAATTAAACAAACTTGTAAAACGCTTCAGATTATTGATTTCCTGTGGCTTTTCTAGTATATACAATGTCAGTAAACAGCGTTTAACTAATGAGCCAGCCATGTGCTAAGACGTCGGTATAGAAGAGAAGTACAACAACGAAACAGAAAATCCATAGCGTTGCCCTTATTCAGTGCGATAATATTATTAGTGCCGCCAGTTCTTTATTTTACGGTTTAGAGTTGGACTTTTTCTTACTAAATTGGGGGACATTTCTTTAGGTGGGGGGAGGAGGTGAGACATTAAAAAACACTTTTGAAAACTTTTGTCAGAATTAGGTGTTGTAAATCAACATTTCGGTTGGGGTCTTCCAAAAATTGCAGGTACTTTTTGAGTCAAACTGAATGAATAGAATCTCCAAGACACCCAGTGACTCAGCGGAAAGTCTGAGGGCTTATAATGCTAAAAAATCGGGTTTCGATACTCGCGGTGGGCAAGCACAGGTAAACCGTTGTGTAGTTTTGAGCTTCACAACAAACCAAAGAACAATATTCAACTGACTTGTAAACAGAGAATAATGTTTTGTTTCAATAAAATACAAGTGACTGTACAAAACTTAAAGAAATATTCTATATTTTCACCTATAGTTTTATTTGTACCATTAGGGTTTCGATGGCTTTTATCTGATAAGAATGTACATTCTTCTGTGCATTTGTGCGAAATGAAAGTACATGTCCTGTTTACGAAAAAAAGCTTCTCTGTTTTGCAAATTTGTAGTTCCGGTTGTTGTTGTTGTTATTTTAGTTTTTGCTGTAGAAGCTTTTAAACTTATTGAAGTAAATACGCTACGGTTATTTTTCCTTATTCAACATTCCTGATAAACTCTGTGTATTCTTTTATGTTGGTACAGTTTAAAGTTGGACTTGTTTAACACATTTGTTTTTCATATCGCAGAGTTGTAAGACATGTAGTTACGTTCCTGAAGACGAGGCTTAAAAATGCTGGTTTTAAAATTTCAATTCGTTTTAAAAAAAACCTACAAAAACAAAATGTACTTCAATTTGATACTGAGCATAACACGTGCGGTAAGTCTGAAGGCCTATAACACTAAAAATCGGGTTTCGATACTCGTGGTGGGCACAGCACAAATAGCCCACTGTGTAACTTTGCGCTTAGCTACAAACAAACAATGCTTTACTATCATACACTGTAAATGAATATAACGCAAACCGTGTGTATGTAAGAAAGAAACTTTGTGTAAAACTCTACAGATTTATCCTGAAAGAGAAGAATATAAGCTTTCTTACTTATACATTGAGCAACAGGTATAATGAATGAACTTCGTCATCAGATAAGGAGAATCGAAGGTCTGAACTAAAGATTCGAAAATTACTATTTCTGTTTATTTGTTTCAGAGAAAAGCGTTGTAAGCCCTACCGGGAGACTATCTATTCTGATCTTTCTATAAAGATGGGAAAAGTTTTGCAGTAAAAAAGATATTAGAGCAAGTCAAAATGAAATATAGTTGAAAATAGGTATTCATTTCGAAGTAATTTTTTAAAACGGTGACATCAAATAAACCTATTGTTAAACCAATACAAATATTGTTTCAGTGAAACAATGCATTAATGTACGTGACACATCATGTTAATTCCTTTGAATGATGGCACATGTAGGGACACCTATGTTTGCAAATGTTGTGTAGATTATTTATTAGAACTAACCGTGTTTTACGCTCTATATGGTTCATGGTTTCTTCAAAATAACGATTTCTCCGAACATATAAAAAAAGCTGCGTTTGAAATAAAAAGCACCATTTGAGTTACTTATTTCCATCCTGGCGTGGCCTAGTAGTTAGCGTGTCCGGATTGTGAATATGAGGACTCGTGGTTCGAGTCACCTAGCGGCAAAAGCACGCTACGCGCTTTGGAGACGTAGACGCTCTATAAGAGTGACGGTCAAATCTCACTATTCCGTGCAGATAGCTCTTGTGTTTAGTTTTTTACGAAAATTCTAAAACAAACAAACTAAAAATATAATTATCTGTAACGATGTTGTTGTTGTTAATTATATTAACACACAATCAATTTACAGATATTGTGATATAAATATATGTAAATATATGCAGATTGTCAAAGCATTTGTACTTGTTTTAGACTACCTTGCTATCAGCAATGATAAAGAGACCAGCATTAAACAACAAAGATAGTAAAATATAGGAATGAGAGAAAAAATTAAACCAACTTTTGGATAAATATGAACATTTCTGTAATTAGAAAGGTTGAAAGCAAAGTAGACACAAAATAATAAATATGAAATAGTGTAAGAAAGGTTATAAAATAACGAAAGGAAGTAACCCGAAGGACAGAGTGAGAAAATAGAGACAAATCTGTGGCTTAAATGAGTATATCAGTTAAAGTCAAGTGAAGGAACGAGATAAAAGCATAGTAGAAAATAAAAAAGTTGAGTAAAGAATGAGAAAACAATGAAACGATAGCAAGTTTTAAGCTGCGTAGATACAGTGAGGTTACTTAAGAAAAATTAAATTCAAAACTAAGATGGCATGAACTTCGAATTTATTGAGGGTAAGAAGCATCTTCAGGTGTTTGATATACAGTGGTTTGACAGAGAACAAATACGAGTTTAAATTAAAAGAACGTGAGTAATACAAGTGATGCTCCATCATTATGACGTCAACGATATCAAAACTAAACAATAAGAAAACTTTGAAAGAAAATTCACAAAACAAGCCTTAATTTTACACTAAAGTACATTTTGCTCTTTGTGTTTGTTTGCGTTGTTACACCAAAACTACCAATGAAAAAACTAAATATAATTTTTTAACACAACGTTGATTAGACCCATTAAAAAAGACCGAGAGTAATTCTCTCCAACGTTGATTGTTTGGGTTAGACCCACTTTTCAAGAGATACAGTGGTGTGCCTGGGTGTTTGTTGATTTTTGGATTTATGGATCTTAATTTTAAATCTTACTTTTTTCAGCCGCGGCATAGCGGCTCATAGAACTGCTCTGAGTTTTTTTTTTTTCGAGTACAAACTTTTAGCTCATAGTTCTACCATCTCTTGACCTATTGGAGATCTAATTACAGTTTTGGACTCAAGAGGTCAAACCCTTTAGATTGATGTGTTTGATCACGACAAAGGTCTCGTTGATTATTTTAATCTAATCCTGCCTAAAAGAATTTCAATTTGAGGGTAGGCTGGTAGAGATCCTGAGAGTAATAAAATCGAATCGGGTATATACGCGCCCCACGCTTGGTATCGCTGGCGCACAAAAATATAGCTAATAAAAAAGGTCGCATAGATTAATTTACTCTAATCCTGCCTTGAATAATTTCAAGTTCCGCGGCTATTGAGAAGTTCCTCTTGTTTCTAATAGTAGTATTACTTTCAAAATGTAAGATTTAGCCTGATTCCGTTAAACACGTATTAACTCGGGCTTTAGAATGGTCAAAAACTAATGGTGGTTTGTATTTCTTAAGCCTGTTCTCTAGGTTTCCTCAAGTCTCACCTACGTACGATATATTCATTGGGTGATAATCCTATCGATACATTACATTCTTTACATTATTACTAGCTGGAGTACCCGGCTGAAATAAAAAAAATAAAAAAACTCGTTTGTAACAAAGGATAGGAAATTGTGCTTTTATTTTATTTTTCTTAACATAAACGTTCAAAGTGCAATAAAAAATACATAAAGGTATCAATACTGAAAAGAAAGACGTACCGTTTTCAAAAATTCTATCAATATTAAATTAGATGGGGGGTCCAACCCCCCCCCATATCATCCTGTACCACTGTGTCAAGTTGTGCTGATTTGGTAGTTTTTCCAAAATTAAATATGAAATTAACCCCCACTCCACCCCATCATGACCTTCCTCGTGTCATCCTCTATCACTGTGTCAAGTTTGGTGCTGATTGATCTGGAAATTTGGAAACGTATAAGGAACAGATATACACACACACACACACACACACACACCGACGTTTATTTATATAGAGGATGGATGATCCAACCTTCACTCCCTTCATGACCTTCCTTATGTTATCCTGTGTTAAGTTTGGTGGTGATTGATCAAGAAATGTGGAAACGTATTAGGAACAGATATGAAATGATAGATAATACGACCGTGTATAGTTTTTCCCGAACACACACACTTTACTTTGTATATTAGATTATTATGATTCTAAGTTAAAGCATTGCCTAGTTTTCTACCTGGTTTTGTTAAAAAGTTTATGTTAATATGTAAGTTATAATTGATGTGGAAATATTTTTCTAAATTCTTACTACATTTTTCGGTAATACGTGGAAAGTAAGGTAGTGTGTAGAACATACCATTTTTATGATTACGATCAGATTTATTTTTGACCCCATTATCCGTCTAGGATATGTTTTTTTCCAGATCGTATGGCTAGTTATTGATTTTAGTGAAGTTTTCCATTAGATGCTGTTCTTCTTTCTCAAGTTTACCTGGAGTATATTACTGTATGTTGGATTCATGCAGTGCATTGAATGTATGTCTGTGTGCAGACGGTATTTGTATTTTTGCGGGGGGACCGAAATGAGGGGTCAGCACATTTCATTCAGGAAAATTCCACATTGTTACGTATTGTCAAAAACGCAATTTCAAATCTTAAGTTTTGTTTTCCTTTGTGAAATAACCAGATTCAGACACTCGTGATGTTTATGTTTCATATTTTGAATTACTTTATGTATCATAGTAGCATCTAACCTTTTCCTTAAATGATGTTAGAGATATCGCTCGGCCAGTTCAAAATAGTTCGTGTTTTTACTGCTGCGTGAAAAAACAACAACTAATTGTATTATTGGGAGCTCAATATAAGTAATGAAAGAGATACGGAAATGTCTTCAAGTAATCTACTAGATTACATCCGATAAATAGACATCTTTTTACTTCTACCAACGTAACAAGTAACAATGACCCTTTGTAAAATAAATCATAAAAATAAAGTCTAGTTTGATAGCTAGATACGTTTTTTTGTATGTTTCGACTAGTTGATTCGTGGTATGAAACATTATTCGTGTAGATACTGGTTACAACACTATTTGACTTAAAAATTCAGTTAATTAATAGAAATCTCATTGTTTATACAACAGGCTTTATGATGTTTATATGATCAAATCCTAGAAAAACTACCCAGCGATGCCAGTATTAAAACGGGGCGTGGGTCGCCCCTTCCACCATTTTGAGCCGTAGCACATGAACTGTTCATCCACCCGAGGTAGCTATGCTGCAGTGTTTAAACGTCACTTTTGTTTGACGTTGACTTCACGTAATAAAAATTGAAATGGCTGCCAAGGTCACCCCTTTCATTCAGTTGCTTATCCATTTAAACTCGATCTGTGGGGTGTTTACCTTAGAAGCTTCATATGTATAGATGGATAAAAGAAGAATCGGTTATTTTGTTCTGGTATTGTAATTCACGTGGTATATGAGTTACACGGTTTCAAAGATAGGGATCGTTTTCGGTCTGTCACTTTTTGGCGAGAATTTCACCTAGGTATTACCGGGATGATATTTACGTTTTTCAAGTGTTGCAAAGTAACATTTTAGCCAAATACTGCCTTATGACAACATGGCAAAGAAATTCGATATCAATAGTTAGCTTATCGTATACACAAAGTAAAATTTTTAGCCACATACTGCCTTATGATATGACAAAGAAATTCGATATCAATAGTTAGCTTATCGTATACACAAAGTAAAATTTTTAGCCATATACTGCCTTATGACAACATGACAAAGAAATGAGATATTAGTAGTTATCATATCGTAAACTCACTCCTAGGATTTGGTGTGATAACAATGGTTCCAGGTGCGTGAGATTTTCCGTAAGATTTATCACTTTGTTCATTTTCAGTGTTTCGACCATGCTGGCTTAGGAAGATATATTAGTGTAGACTGAATTACTACGTGAACAACGAATGTGTAGCGAACGACTGGGGCATTTCCAGAACAACGTAAACGTTTTCAGTGTAATGTGTAACGTGTAAAATATAAGCTTCACCAGTCTTTATTTATCTTGTTTGAAATTCTTGTAAGCTGCAGTTTGTGTTAATTGGTGATTAGAAATAATCGGTCGCATCTAACAATACCAGTTCCAACCGGAATTATGTACAAAGAGGTGATAAGAAATAATCGGTCGCATCTAACAATACCGATTCCCACCGGTACTATATACAAAGCGGTGATTAGAAATAATCGGTCGCATCTAACAATACCAGTTCCCACTGGTATTATATACAAAGTGGGGATAAGAAATAATCAGTCGCATCTAACAATACCAGTTCCCACTAATACTATATACAAAGCGGCGATAAGAAATAATCAGTCGCATCTAACAATATCAGTTCCCACCAATACTATATACAAAGCGGTGATAAAAATAATCAGTCGCATCTAACAATACCAGTTCCCACCGGTATTATATACAAAGAGGTGATAAGAAATAATCGGTCGCATCTAACAATATCAGTTCCCACCAATACTATATACAAAGCGGTGATAAAAATAATCAGTCGCATCTAACAATACCAGTTCCCACCGGTATTATATACAAAGAGGTGATAAGAAATAATCGGTCGCATCTAACAATATCAGTTCCCACCAATACTATATACAAAGCGGTGATAAAAATAATCAGTCGCATCTAACAATACCAGTTCCCACCGGTATTATATACAAAGAGGTGATAAGAAATAATCGGTCGCATCTAACAATATCAGTTCCCACCAATACTATATACAAAGCGGTGATAAAAATAATCAGTCGCATCTAACAATACCAGTTCCCACCGGTATTATATACAAAGAG